GCACATATTTTTGATTTGATTTGATATTGATTTTGTAAGTTAAAGTTATTACGTTTTAGAAAACATCAATGCTTCAACAATGGCACATATAAGTGGCTTCTTCACATGGCCGTATAAAATATTTTGATTGGTACAATATTTCTAATCAGTAATTAAGGTTATAAAAATGCTTTTTACCTTGAGGAAAAAATGTTAAAGTGCAATTGAATTTCAACCTACAAAAAGTTCTGGAAAGTTGTAGGTCAAGTAAAGCTGACACAAATATCTTAAATGTAGGTTCCCTTTTAAACAATCTTTCAGGTCTCTTTATTCAGAAAATGGCATTACAGACATGTGTAACATTTTCACCCATTCTTTTAGTGAATCATAAAATGGACTTAAGATTATGTGAAAAGATGTGAAGTGCAGATGCCAAAGTAGTTATGTATTGTCCAACAATACATAGAATGATCTTGAAAATCTATTGCTTTCTTCTTGGCTAATTTATTCCCATTAAAATATAGTATCTTTGATCAGAATTTTTTGGAGCTCTATTTTGTGATGAAAGACATGTGTAAATCATACTTGTTTTGAAACTTTGCTTCAGCTAATTGTACATTAAAATTCTTTTTAATCCAGCCAATGATAAGTAACTAGAGCAATTCTATAATACTTTTTTTATTTTCTTTTATTTTTGAAAGTAACATTTGTGAAATGCTTCCAGCTTTAGGAATGGTATCTCTTATTTTAATTTTATTCCACTAATGGTTTCATCATCTCTATTTTAACAATTTCTTATGCATTAGCAATCTCATGAGAGAAAAAATAGCTTATTGATATTCTTATGAGGTACAATTCAATATTAAACAAATTGAATTATCTATTCTTCAAACGACTATTAAAGGGGTTATAATAAGTTTTGAATTAAAATTGTAGAAAAATGGAATAAGTAGTTCAAAGAAAATTATTGATAATTGTAGAAAAGCAAGTAGTTCAAAAACAAGGTAGAATTGGAAGTAGACATTCTTGATTGCATGCTCTTCTTAGATACCCTTTAGAGATACTTGCAGTACTGAGCATGAATACGTGTAATATTGTGAACTCAAATTAAAAGGTAGAAGTGGAAGATTGGTTGGGTGATATAAAATATTGTCTTTCCATTTAACTGTTTAACAGTTTGGTCTTTGCCTGTAATGTAATATGAATATGTGTATTTTATTCAAGATATGCAGGTTGATATATTAGGAGAAATTGTCTGAAAGCGCATGTGTTAAAATTTCAACAGTGATGTAATATTAAAACTGCCCATGGCATTGACTGGATTTCATACTTAAGCTTATACATGAGAGAAAATGGTTTCTGTTTGTTTTTCCACAGCAATTGATGAATGCTATAGCAATGGTCCACAAGATGCAGAGATTAGCTCTTAATAATTCTAGTAGCATGGACGTTGATGAAGCACACAAGTGCACCACTATTGAGGAGGAAGCAGAGGGGGAGGAGGAAGGTACATGATAGTTGAATGTGTCGCGCTTTTCATTTGTGTGTCCTGGCTGCTGATTGCCCTCTGCGCTCCTTTCGGTTGCTGTCTAATATTGTTTAAGGATTTTTTAGGAAGAGTCATTTGTTGCCATTTTTCCACTTTATGTACCTGATGTGTTATGTATTAGTAGTGAGACTGAAACTGCAAATTTCTTGTACGTTATTCTGGGAATGTTAGTACATATTTTATATAATCTCAATAGCTATTAGTGTCATCTTGTATATTAACTAAATAATGATCGTATGGTAAGTCTTATTTTATTTGAAATAAAAGTAAAGTAAAAAATTATTCATAAAACATGTTATAACTAGATGAAGTTGTTTCCTCCAAATATTTATAGAAATAACTACTGTTTCAGTGCTTAAAAATGCATTTTGAACCAAAAAAGAAAAAATAGTTTTAGAACAATTTTGTTGGTGACGTACATTGTTTGCATTACCAATAACGTGTGGTGTAGGATTTTAAAAATAATATTATTAGCTTGCATGATCATTGTGCAAGTCCCTGCATGTGTATTTTAGATGAACTTATTTATGTTAAGATTTAACACTCAAGACATTTATTTCTGGAAGTATGTCATCCATAACAAAATCTTCATAACAGAATACTCCATAAATCTTCTGATGTTACTATTATGTAATTTTATAGTAATTACAACTAGCTGTTTTATTCAATTTATCTTTAATAATAATAGATATGTAGTAATTAAAATATTATATGAACAACATTCATAAATATTTGTATGTGATATTAAATTTTAGTCTCCTTTTTATTTGTTGACAGTCCAGAAATTGTGTGTGTGTTTTGTAAGTTATATCCTCTCTTAAAATTGTTAATTTCTGGATTTACAATTTGCTTACACACCATTAAAATAAATTATTATTCAAACTGAATAAGATCGACCTTAAGTTGTCATATGTTTGTGTGTACTACAGATTTGAATGGCAAATTTGATTTTTTTTTTTTTTTTTGCATTAAAATTAATTTATTTTTCTTCCAAAATTGTATTTAGTATATGATATTAAAATTGTCCACAAACAAGATTAACACTACCTTTGAAATTAAATTAATAGATTCTTAATTGATGCTAAAGGCAAACAGATTGTGGAAACAGTATCTTAAATAGCATGTTCTCTTTTTTCCATTGAAGTCATGCTTGACAAGAATTTTCCCTTCTTCAATCTGTCTGAAAATTACTACCTTCAGAAAAAAGCACTTAATTGTTTTGATGGTAAAAGATGTGAAGATCAATATATCAGAAACTGCACCTTTCTTCTTTAAATCTTTAGTTGTTTTTTTCTGAAAAATCTGAGAACAATTGTCTTATGCATAAATAAGATCATCTTATTTCAATAAAAGGAGAAAAAATCCAAATATGATTGAGGAATTATTAGAGAAAAAAGACAAAAAATGTAGTGGAAGGGGTATTAAATATAATGCTAAAATTACAAATTTTATGAAAAATATTGTATTTTATTTTTAACAAATGGAAGAATAAGTACCCAAAGTCAATTTTTACGTAAATGACAGAAGAAAATAGATAGATATATAATATGCAATCAAAAAAATATTGCATTTTTTTCTCGGTTTTCTTTTGGTGGTTATCAAGGCAAATGTCTTGCACAGCACATGTTGAAAGTTCATTTCTTGTTCAAATAATTTGAACAGCAATGTGATTTCTTGTAAAGGAAGAGAAATGGGCTTGATGTTATTGATAGGCATAATTGATTTTTAATAGGCATCCTGCAATTATTATAGTCTGAAAATAGATGCAAAAAAAGCCACTCATTATCCGTCCTTGATAATTGACAGATTATTCCCCGGGGGTTTAGTTACCTGAAAAGATGGGGAGGTCAGAATGTGTGTAACTGTGTAACTTCATTAAATGACATTTCCTTCCACAAGTTCATTGGCAAAAGTGATAATCTACATGCTCTAGGAGTTTGTAACATTTATTCTCAATTGGCCTCTATATTTGTTTGTACTCATAAGATGCATGGTCACATAAAATTATTGTATAAAGATCTGATTAAGGAAGCTTACACCAAATATTGAAGTGCTCAAGTATGGTTGTTGCTTCTTCCTAGAATAGGGTCTTTAGAACTTTTATGAAAAAAGTTATTAAGGAAATTAAATTTAATCTTTCTAATTTTTTCAAGTTTATAATCTGGGACAACTGATGTTTCTCCTCCTAAATAAAAATTTAAAAGGTTAAGTCAATGGGGATAAAAGAAAAGTTAAAAGCTCCTACTTACTTTGTAATTTTTACAGTAGTACAGTTTTACAGTAGTTGAATTTGGGGTTTTAGCATTATTTAGGAGACTTGGGCATGAACTACAGCAACATTCTTGAAAACATTTGCCGAAAGAGACCATTTTTGTTGCTGTAAAATAAAAATGCCCTGGGATAGTATGTACTATTGTAATAATTGTTATTGGCGGTTTTGAATATTTTCCGATGTTTTATGATATTCACAGACGTAGACCCAAAGAAACGACTTAGTTTTCCTAGTGAACGAGTTTCATACAATGTTGAAATTAAAGTTTTTTTTCAGTAAAGAAACAGTTTCCTGCTTGCAAGCTCTTTTTTTAAGGTACAGTGGGTGTTTGTGTGTGTATTTTATAAAATAAAAATTCCAAATAAATCATATTATTTTGTAAGTATTTGAATGACATTCCTTGCTTTCTTGCATGTGCTGAATACATGAATAATACATTGTGCCCAGAATAAATTTTCTTTTTCTGTTCTAAGGATTTTTAAGATTTAAATTTTTATTTTTTTATTTTATTTCTTCCTTGAAATATTATAGAAGAATTATGTAAAGAAGTGCACATTTATTCTACACTTAATCACAAATTTTCCACCTAGTATAAATGAATGAAATATGTGCTATTGATTGTTCATTGTTAACTGATTTGGAATGTAATATAGTTGTTGACTTCTAGCCGTGTAATCAGTAGGTTTTGTTGGCTCAAGTTGTGTGTGTAGCAAAGATCTGCATTGCACTGAATGTTCCTATTGCATCTAATGGTCTTAATGTAGATGCTTACTAAAAAAGCAACTTCAGTTTTGGAATATTACTATTTTTGTGTAATAATTCATGCAATGATAATGAAACATTATTATGTCGTATGTAATGATTTTTGACATCTTAATTACTTTCAAAATCATATTTTACACTGGTACTTGCTCAAAATGTTTCAGCTTCATTCCTTTTCGGAAGGAACTTGGTTTCTTTAACATCTTTCTTTTATATTTCTTACATTCTTAATTTGTCAGTATTATCAGTACTGCTTGTACTTAAATCAAGTGACATTGTTATCATCAGCAATTTATTTTGTAGCTTCTTTCATGCATGCTGTCACTCAAAAGAACAAAGTATTTGAGAAGAATGTTTTCATAATTCACATGTAGTTTAAAAAACAACGTGAATCACACTACAAGTAATGCATCACTTACATTACTAATGATGTTGCAGCAAGCATACCATGCAGCCGCAGTGATACGGCAGATGAAGCGGATGGCTCTCGGCAGCACAGTTACCAACACGGAAACCAGCTCCAGTAGCTCTGAGCACCCTTTTCTTGACAACAACAGTCCAAATCCACAAATGAGTGGGCTCGACTTGAATGGGACTCCCCCACCCAACAACAATTAGGGGTTGCTACTTGCTGATGTCACCAAGTGCACAGTCCCTCATCTCATCTTACTTGGCCACTTTGTTGTAAAAGCATACATCTCTGTTTCAAGGCCTTAAAATGTTGTACTTTTCCTCTGTTCAGAAAATGTTTGTTGGTGCTTTTGTGAACCTATCTCCTCTGTAGATCAAATAAAGTAAGGGAGAGAAAGGTTTCAAGGCCTGGCAGGGGCAGCTTCCATTGTAGCATCTTATTGATCCATCTTGCAGCCATAATTGGACACTCGTGTATATTAACGTGACATCCTGTACACTACTACTTTCTGTTTTTGCAGAGAAAATATGGTCTGATAGCTTGTTATGCACATATGTATACATTCATTTAAATGCATGTGTGTATATGTTCATGATTGAGTAATTAATGCAAGTAAGTATGAGGAAAGACAGAATTAATGAATGTGTAAGTGATCTTGGCATGTCTTTGTGATAACAACAAATCTATGGAATCCATCATAATGATGGGGCATTCTCTGTATCTGCTGATAAGAATTTACCATATCTAGGGCTGTGCTAATAGCAAAAATTTCTAGACTTTCTTATGTTGAGATATATTCCTTGCAAATACATTATGTTAATGATGATACTGCATTATCATAAGTATTTTTGCATTGTACTGAATTCCCTGCCATAAACTCTTAGAAATAGCCCATTGTAGAAATTGTGATGTTGCATTGTCCACAAAGATTATGCTACAGATATTATTATTTTTATTATTATTATTGCTATTAATATTGTTTTTATTATTATTATTATTATTGCTATTAATATTGTTTTTATTATTATTATTATTATTGCTATTAATATTGCTATTATTATTATTATTATTATTATTATTATTATTATTATTATTATTATTATTATTTGCACTTTTTTTCATATTTATATGTTAGTAGTAGAGATATCACAATCTTGCATGCAGATTTTTAGGATGTGGGCATGTGTGGCCTAATACATATTGTTATAATTACATTTACGCAGCATTCCACAAAATTCATATCTTTTACTGTTTTAATGTAATCAAAAGTCATTTTTGCTTTTTCTTTTTATCCATGGGTTAAACTTATGTTGGTGGAGAAACTGTGCTGTAGGTATGTACATATTGTTGAAACAGCACTTTTATTTTAGGATACATTGTAATTTGCATTTTAATTTACTGTATACATTAGGTTTTATTGCTTTGCTTTACAATATCTGAACAGGTGTTGAGATAATGAGTTCTAATTAAACGGGGAAAAGATATTTAGTTGTTATAAGTACAATATGAGAACTCGTGCTTGCAAATATCCTCAGGATTACTCCTTATCTGTGGCATGAGATTTGGTACAGTGAGATGCTTTTGATGTGTCAGTATTTTCATTGTATGTAACATGCAATTTCTGCTTTCAGCAGAGGGTTAAAGATAAAAAAAATTGCAGCCCTATCATATCAGTAATATATTCCATTAAAGAATTGTTGTGTGATAATGTCCTCATGTCACATTGTAGTTCATGAGGTCACATGTATAATAGTGCAATAATATTGCATTGAACCATTGAAATTGGCTGCATATTTAACCCAATGATGAATCATTAGCATATTTCTTCCTCTTCTTGTAAATGACTACTGGCAACTTGTTAACCTGGCCATGTATCTCCTGCTATTCTGCCTTCCAAGTGATTACCTGATAATGGGATTAGAAACAGACTTTGTTTATCTTATCAAATGTTACTCTTATTCAAGAGAAATAATACAATGTACAATATTGTTAGAAGAGATGGAAGAATGTATACTTGCCTGTAAGGTGTTGGAAATTTGCAAGGTGAACTAAATGCAATATTTTTCAGTGTATTTTCAATATTGGTGTTAATCTTGCTGACTGATACTTTCGTTAACATCATTGAATCCTAATGACATGCTCTATCAGTTAAATAGTCAAAAAAGTTGATGTTTCAACTGTAGTTATAAAGACTTGGATACTTAATTTCTCTCTTCAGTTATGGAAACTTTTGAAGTGATTATGTGTAGTATTTGTTGTGCAAGTGTACAATATATTTTGTCATAAATATGTACGAGTTTTCTCTGAATACCTCCAGAAGAAATCTGGTATTCTTTCAAAGAAATTTTTATAATTTTCAAAGTTTAATGTTATGTATAGATAACAAAATTGCTAGTTTTGTATAGATCATGAGTGTTGAGAGAAGCACTACATCGAAATGTTTTAAAATGTTGATTTACATTTGATGAACAGTCCATTTCAAATATTGTCATTTATATGGTTTTGATACCTTGTTACTTGACAGTTAGTGTTTCACATCTGGAATGAATTGCCTTTCATTTGCATGTGTATTTCAGTTGATTAAACTTTTGAATTGCATCACAGAGTAGTGTTGTAAAAACCTCAAATAAAAGTTGGAAATTATTAAAACAAAATTCTATAACAATGAAATCATATTGTAAAGGTGTATATAAGTAGTGGTAATGGGATTGATTAAAATGCCAAATTAAGTGTGATGTCTGCGAAGATTTGAAATGTTCCTGATGATGTTTTGTTTCATAATGTATTGTAGTCTTTCTCATGCATCCCAGTTGAACTTAAATTTTGAAAATTCCTACTTGTTAGACATTGAAAATGATGGTAGAAAATCCTAAATTAACAATGTTACAATTTTAAATGAAAATTGATGTGAATTTGCAATATCTGTAATGCTTGTTATAGTTGAGTAAAGACCATTTTTGTCCTTGTACCTCAGAGTGCTGTATTGCTACGTCCTTATTTTTGATTATTTGATGTACTATTCCTGCAGGCTTTGGCCTACTTACAAATGCATTGCATATCCATGTTCTGTATGTTTACATTGAAATTCACATGTTCAAAAAAATTTTATGGTATCTTCTGATACTTCACTCATATTGATGTTTGGTCTGAAAATCTGACATGGAGTAACTGTTCCCTTCCCATAAGATTCTCAATACCTCTTCTTGCACACATACATAATCCTGTTTTAAGTGGTTATTCATATGACTAAACTGTACAACTTGCAGTTTCATGAGCAGTAGCAAATGTTTTTAATGTTTTATACATTAGTTGTGAATGAAATATTTTCTATACTCCTATGTATTTGAATCCAAACCTAAATAAGCTTTATGTTGTTGCTATTGTTATCTTTTGTTTTTCCTCTTGTTCACTTGCTCTGAATGATTAGGAAATATACATTTGTGACAAGAAAGGTTATGGAAGGTGGCGTTTTGTATGAAATTGCTAGTATATAAAGATGACATAGAATGCAAGTTGTTTTTAAACCTATATTACAAAGGACATTTTTGGACTTGGAAATGGAGAAAGATGTATTTCAGTTTTCAGTTAGAAGTTCTACTGGGTGCCATTGTATGGTGATTGTAAACATCTGAATCATCTTGGTATATTTTGGTATGAATGTTTATATTTTATACTGTATACAATGTTTGTTTCCAAGTAATGTATATGTAGCTATACGAAACTGTAAAATTTGTACATACAAGTTTTGGGACATCTGTTACTGGCTTGATATAGTATTTCAGTAGAAAATCTCAATAATTAACTACACATCATAACATATAAAATTTTATTACTCTAACAAGTTTCACCAGCTGTGTACGCTCTCTTGGCATGAAGAAAAAAGGCAGTGGCAATATTTCTTAGAACAAAAATTGAGAAAACATTTTTTGGTATTGACCGATTTACTCCAAAGATTAATACAAGTTTCTTTAATGTTGTTATTTGTTGGCCTATTCTTTCTATTTCTTAATTACTTTCATAGTGTGTGAGTGAAATACAAGGTAATTTGCTGAAAACTATATGAAAACATTTCAGGTAAGATCTTCATAATCTCATTAAAATCTTGTGAGAAAACTACAAAATATTTGATGATTTGCATCTGCGCCCAAATTATCAGAGATGAGGCTAGTGTACAGTTCCTTTATTTTATTTCATTTCATTTTATTTTATTGTTGTAGGTTTATTCATTCTGACTATAAGAGGAACAGCTTTATTTTCAACATTATTTACTGTAGAACAGCATCATATGAGCTTGATATGCGAGGGTCTTGGTGCCTTATAATTGGGTACTTGTTTACAACTTGCATATTCAGATTTTTTCTTCTTTTTTAATAATTTTTTGCACAGACTGCTGTTGAAATTTCCAAGTCCATGACAATGTGCATTAAATTATATTTATTATTTCTAAGTAAGGTCCAAAAGAGAGCTATTAAAGAGAACGCAAAACAAGTTGAAAGAGTGTACATAGTCATGCCAGTATATGACATTATTATTTATATACCATATTTTTCATCAGTTGCTCATTTATAATATAATTAATATAGTGAGACAGTATTATTAGAACCGTCTCAATACAAAACAAACAGTACTTATTATGATCATGGCTCTATGAAATGGATTTAATAAAGGAATTAATTATATCCACAGAGTTATTTTTCATTTATAATTCTGAAAATATATTTCAAGAACCTCCATGTAGTTTGATTAACATTTTGTGAATTGAAAATAGCAGATTTTAGAATTTTGAACAATTTCCTTTTGTGTTTAACAAAGATTTATTTAATACTTATGTAATCATTAGAAAATCTCCCTAATTATTCACTATTCAATTGATATATTACTTACATGAAGCTGCAATGTACTTTGTGTACTACATATATAAACAATATGAATGTTAGTAAATTGAATGAATTTATTTATTTCATATCATGTTGTAATGACAACTTGTGATGCATTATGTGATTTTGAACCATCCACTTGTATATTGATGTTGCCATGAAATGTTGTGTGTACTCACAGAATGAATATTAGCTATTTAAATATGTAATTGAAATTGAATCTCTTTCTAATAAATTGACTGACAATGTTGGGAAAAGTAATGATAAATAATTAGCTCGATAATATATTAACTATTTTTATCCATTTCACTACTTGCCAAAATTATTTTAAAAACGACAACTTTTTTCACCAAACTGAATTTGAGAAATTTAAATGAATAATTTTGAAGGAACTTCTGGAAGATTTGTGGTAATAGAATATTGAGAGTTGAACTTCTAAAATTTTGTTCTTTTTTGCAAGTGCACAGGTACATGAAATTGTTTAAAAACTATCAATAAGCATAATAGTACTATGGCTTACAATGTAAATTAATGTCAGCCTTTCCTTTTTCCTCCTCAACACTTTAATGTTTAACTGATTCATTACTCCTCTCCTTCATTATCCTTTATCCTAAACAGTTTTCTCCCACAATTACATGATGATGTGCCAGATAGAAAAAAGGATGACTTGATATTGTAACTGTTAAGAGGGTGACCTTTTGCTTATTGTGTTACTTAAATTTATTTGCATTCTGCTACAATGTCCACAAGGATTAAAATGTTTGATGGATAACAGCAATGAATGTGAGGTTAGCAAAAATAATGACAAAACATGTGACATTGTTCTTGAGCAGAGACACATGTACAACTTTAAAATTTGAAATTTATGAAGAAAATTTGCAGTCAGCATTTCTTATGGGGAGGGGGTACTACCTTGATGCTGAATGCCTATGCTTGATCTGAAACACAAGTCACCACAGTGAGAAATAGTGATAACTTGGACAGAAATGAGATTTTATTAAACATTTTTTAAAATTTATTTTATCATTCTTAAATCATTCTTCTTTTATTTTTGTTTTATGTGGCTTACAATTTGTGGCACTGTTTCATATTGCAACTAGCAAAATCTTACTTTACTGTGGGTGTTTTTTTTCCCTCCATATGAGAGTCACATTAATTGTCTGGCTATCTGGCATTTATTGAGTTTTACCTTGTCAATGGCCCAATAATGATAAGGGAAATTTTTAAAAGGTAATATTCAAAAGAGTATAATCCATTGACAGTTTATAATTGTACAAGTAAAAACATTATGTGATGTCATAATTCAATTATTTGATAATTAGCAATACATGAAAATAATAGATTCGCAAACAAAAATCTTTACAAAACAGGTAATGAACACTAAGAGGCACTTTGCAAAATGTTGGTTAGAATCTGTATTCAAATGGATATGAGCTCAAAAGTCAGTGAAAGACAATAAATCTATAAATAAAATGAGTGAGATGGAGATTTTATTTTCTAGAGTTTTTTATTCAGATTTATTTTATGAGATGTTAAAATGGTACTACTACAACAGAGAACAGGTTACTCTGAATGAACAATGACAAGCATCATAGCCACAAGTATCACAAACTTTCTTACGAAACAGATTAAACTACACCATTTAATTTCAAAAATATTGAGTGATATTATCTAAGTAGGCCCTATACTCTGTTACTTAACTTTTGTAAATCACATACTATATGCTACTACTCATACATAAAATTCCTAACCTGTCCAAAAGCATGTTCATAAAAAACACTGAATTGCTCCAGATAAATGCTTATCAAAGTATATTCTAAATGTGTGAAGCTTAATATGTACAATAACTCACCAAGGCTTCTGAGTTGGCTTGCAATGTTAAACATTTATTTATTTTGTTTTATTATTTATTTATTTATTCAAAATTGTTTAATTAAATTCAAAAAAATAAAAATGGTTTTAAAGTTTTTAAACATGGTATGTTATAGGGAGAGAAATGATAGGGGACTTCTGGATAATTACTTCCCCAAGAGAATTCAATGTGCTAGGTGGAAAAATAATAGGCCTATTTGTCTACCAGAAACAATTAATCCTTATGCCTTTTATATGGTTTCTACACTGAAATGTTCAAATCAAGGAAATTGGAAAAGAAAACTTTATTATAAAGATTAAAAATTACACGTATAAAAAAATTTAAACAAAATTTTCACTTCAGGTTTTCTCTTTAAACATTAAATGATAGAGGACAAAAAGAAATCATGCTCTATTATTCTTTGAAAGTTACATTTCAATTGCAACAATAGGGGTCTGTAAAGTTTAGAAATTGTACAAAACATTAGTCAAATATTTAGCTAATCATGCTTCTAAAATTATCATAATTTCCAAATTTTCAAATGCAGGGAACTAATTTTAGAATCCTTTTGTTATCTGCAATATTAATTCATATGTTTATGTTGTGGGGAGAAAAATTAAATTCAATATTAGGTGTCCAAACACTGCTGATTTTTCATGTATTATTGTTGTCCAGAAATGTTTTTTGTTGTTTTGTTTTGTTTTTAACTGAACAACCTAGAAAACATACTTTGGTGAGAACACATTATAAGCTACATTTGCCCTATGAATGATTTAATTTTTAAATTATTATTATTATTAATTGATTTTCCCAAGAAATTGGGGAGTGTTATTATATAGGACCAATTAGATTCAAAACAGGTATTTAGAAGAGTGTGTGGAAA